TCATGCATTTTGGGATATACATGTGTTTACACACATGTATATGCAAGTGTTTGTGTATCTCAGTCATCATCACTTATCACCACATTACTAGGAGGCCCGCAACTTTGACGAACTGAAAAAAAAACTTGATTTTTCCATAAATGTGCACTATCAATTAATTTTATCCAAAAAATAGAAATTTCATTTTCATATTTATTTCAGAGGACCTTGCTTTTCTGTGTCAATAGCAGTGGTCTTTGGCCCCAGGTCATTGGTGCCTGGCAGCCCCATGTATCACTGTGAAGAAGGAAGAGCTTCCTTCCGTCCTGGGTCAAACTGGGGACTTTAAGGATTGAGAGTAACCTGAAGATATTAGTCTTTCTCACATAATTCAAGCTGTGTCTTTTCCAGGATTGCATCAGACCACTTGCACCCACCCCACCAAAACTGGACTCCAGGCCTACCGCTGATCTTCACTCTAGACAAGGCCTTTGCATTTGCTGCTTATTGTTCACTCAGACAGACTATTATGTCTGGATTCCAGGCATCTATCTTAACAAAATTATTCATTTCTCAGATCTCTCTATATCATAAAAGTCTCAACTAACTCTTCTACCTAGACCAGGTCTCTGTCATACTCTGATTACTCTTTTCTTCCAATTGTTAGAACTTATTTCATTTGCATTGTGTATTACTAGTGTTATTACTGATGTCCATCCTCCCTGTGATATAGGAGCCCCATGAAAGCAGATACAACCCTTTGATTTACTCAAGTGTGTCTCTCCAGGGCCAAAAGCTCAGTGTTGCAGGATAACAGCATGTTTGTGAATGAAGTAAATTCTGTTCATTTGTTCCAATTCTCTGGACTATGCATTTTCAAACTGTTTGTCCCTTATGTGGATAGTAAAAGTTAAATGTCATCTACCTTTATACAATCATATTTTACTATTATAATATCTTCTCAAAAAATTTTTCTTGGTTGATTTTATCAGGCAATTTTACCTTCTTACCCTGACTATCCATCCCTCCCATAGATGAACATCATAAGACAAAGAATGACCTCCCATCATGAGCATGTGATTACAATGACAAGATTCACTTTGAAAGTACTAGAAGACATGAGAATCTTAAAAATATTGAATGCCTTGCCCAGCCTGCAGAGTTTATTTAATATTTATATTAAATATAAATATATTTATCTGTACCAATAAAGTTCCTTCACATTCCTTAGATTACTTGTATTATTTCCTAAGTTACAGATAGGTATTTATTGTAATTTTCCTGTTAGATATGATGAATTTAAATTAAAGAATAATACATGGACTTCAATGCATAATGACATTGATTTTTACCAATATCAATAATAGTTCATATAGCTGAAGTCATCATCACAGGAAATCTTAGATATACTTTCTTTTCTTTCTCATGTATTTGTCAGTTCTAAATGTATTGTCTTCCAACAGATACAGTAGCCACTTAGGTGGCAATCTTCAGCATCCAACTTACCATGTTTTATATGCATGCATTTATTTAAAAAATTCTTATGTCTGGGAATGTATAGCCTAGAAGAGAAAATAATTTCCATTAAATTCTGAATTCACTTTCTATAACATTTGTAAACTTATGAACAGTAATATTTTGATAAAATTATTAAGAAATAGAAATGACACTTTCCCAGTTGTTCAACAACAATGCAAATAATAAATGTATTATGTCATCCAAAATTTAATTGAATTGGTATGGTAGCAAATTCTTTATGACTATAATCCCCATGACCTCAGGCATATTTAAATTATCTTCCATTTTCCCTGGGGTTTACAAATTGCCTTTACACAGTAGCATTTTGATAAACACAAAACACATTCTATTGTTTAAATAGTACAAAAAAGCTGCTGTTAATCATCAATAATAATTGATTCTCTTCTGAAAAAGTTTAGCTGGCTTTTTCAAGAGTGAAAATCAGAATCCTCATATGAGTAAGTAGTGGCAATTATTTCAAATGATCAAATATTTGAATATATTTTGGGAATCAAAGTAGTCAGGGAAAGTCTCATGAAAATAAGTATCATTCCTCAAGGGGGCATGTGATTACACTATGCAAGTGCAGCACTGGAAATGAAGATGTATGACAGAAGCACAGGTAAATGTGAAGTTTTAATTATAAAACATAACCCTTATTGGAAAATCATCTTTTAAGTGTGAGAATAATGGAAGGAAATCAGCATATTATATTCATGAACCTTCAGAAGAGAAATTATATATTTAAATTAGATTTCTACATTTAAAGATATATTTGACATTTATTCCTATTTGAGGGAAGAATAGTAAGAAGGAACAAATGTAAGATGACATCACCACATTAAACTATGGCAGTGAAGAAGGGGAAACCAGGCTATTGACATTTCAGCTTTGCCCAGAGTCTTACTGAACTCACTTTGACAAATGTAGTGATCAACCTGATCACATTGGGAATCACAGGGGAAATCAAAAAGGGAATCATACAGAGATGAGATTACAGCAAATGAAATGAAAAATTGAAGGATAGGAATTTGGAATAGAAAGTGTCAACTACAAAGCACAAAATATAAAACTGAAAGATGGAGATGAACTTTAAATAATAAATATAATGAATCAAATTCTTAGTTTGTAAAGGATAGAATGGAAAATTGCATTTACATCACATTGATTGCTACAAACATTCTTTGTAATGTGTGCATTTTAACAGAGGTTATAATTAACATTAAAATTAGGACTGTAGATTAGAGATACATAATTTTGAAAAACATCACTCCATAGAGTAGCACATTAAAATTTCTTTTTTCAAAATAAATGATTTTTGTTGCACAATAATCACTAAGTTTTGCAAATGTCCATACAATACAGATCTTTCTCATTATAAATCAGGAAATGTCTGCAATAAACTAAGACATGGGGTGGATAAATGGGCACCTGACACCAAGATATTGGTTAGATGAATATTCAGTAGAATTGATTTATGTTACAACAAATTGATGCTCATTGTCAATAACAACTAAGTTTGTCCCTAGAAATTTTCAGCTAACTCCTTCAAGAGAAGGGAACTTCCAAAGGAAACAAATCAATCAATACTTTGACTTCATATTTCTGCTTTCTGAACTATGAGAGAATAAACTTCTTCTGTTCCTTTAAGCCACCCACTTTGTGGCTTATAATATATATAAATGCAAATATGGTTTATGGAAAACTTTGGGTGAGACCTATGGAGGGAGAAAATTGCCTCAAAAATTTCCTGTGAGCACATGTCTTGGAGTCAAAAAAACATTAACATTGAAGTGATACCTCTTGAATTTGCACATATTTATTCAATTACATTATAATACATTGCAAAATGGTAATACTTCATTCATAAAATTAATGAACCATCTAATAGATTTATGAAACAAATATGCAGCCTAGTACAGTAAACTTTCACATCTTTCCATTTATCCTGTCTTTTCCTAGAGGATTTATTATGGCTACATTTGTTTTGTAAAATAACTCTGCTCCATATGCACAGTAATTATTGAGATTTGGAAGAAAATAAGAGCATTCTGGTCTGGAATTTTAAAACACCAGGAGACTTACTTGTTCAAGTTAAAAAGTGTGCCATCCAGCCAAACCCATTTCAGTCGCTGGCTGTTGTAGTACAAGCTGATAAAAAACATCTTTTGACTCATTTCATACTGCATCTTTGACAAGTGCAATAAAAAATTCTGCAGAGAGAGGAAAATAAATCAGAAAGTAGAACTGTGCCTGAGAAATAGGAGTATAATTATTTAAATATCTTTCTTTCATTGATCAATTTCCCTTTCACTCTCTTTAATTGTATGCAAACAAATAGAGATTAGGCTTATTTTACTTAGAAATAATTGATTGTTGACTGCTGAGGACTCCTTTATTCATGAACAATTGTTTTTTTCCCATATTATAATTTAGTCATATTCTTTGGCAATGGGTTGGAAAAAATGAGCAATAAACCTCATATGTGTAGTCACTAAGACACTGAAAAAATAGAACTTTCATTAACCAATGTATTAAGTAGTGACATATTTCACAACATTATAAATACAGAATCAAAGGAGAAGAAATAGTAGGAGTTTTAACAGGTGTGGTGAGCCCAGAGTGCCATAAGTTAAAATCTTGAAAAGGAGGGTGCATTAACCATGAAAAAAGTGTTTGGGGTGAGAGGTGGAGGAGACAAAATATGTCAAGGGCACATGAAAAAACAATTTGAGAAACAAAGACATGAAGTAGCACAGGGTCCTTTATGCATGTAAAGTAGTTCATGACCATGAGCCCAAGTCAGGTTGCACTAGAACAGGTGCAGAGGAGGCCAGGATAATAGCTAAGAATCAGACTATATATTAACTGAAATACATGATTTGAACTTTATGCTGAGAGCTGAAAGAAAAACCCCAAGTATTATGATAAAGTTAATATTCAACATTACAGTCAAAATATAAAGATGCCTGTGACTGTCATATAGAAAATGCTTTAGAGGAACATGTGTCTTGTGTGATTGTTGGCATTTTTTTAATTTTCTGACACAAAACACATTAAAATTTAAGAAACAAAACTTATCCTTACCAAATCTTCTTCAGTTTCCACTTTAACAAAGCTTGAATTTGAACCAGAGCAGTAGCCGGGACATTGTTTCCAAGGGTACAGGATTTTTGAGAAAAAGAAGCAGTTTTCTCCCCGTTGATACCAGTTGGTTGAACAAGTAGGATATTTCAAAACTGTTACAAAAGAGAAACCGTAGTTGAATGTGTCCCATCAATGCAAGTTATAGCCAGTAAATTCACAATGCAAATCTACCCTCTACCAACAAAGTGTCTTTGTTTTACATTTTATTTATACGCACTTAAATTTAGTGGTTGACTTATTTTAGATCCATAATTCATCACCCTGAAAACATTGTGCTCTTCAAGATTCGTAAGAATGCCTCGGGGCTACAAAATATTTTTTTTTTGTTTTTTTTTAGTTTTTTTGATTTTAAGATTTATTTATTTATGCATACAAGAGCTGGGGTATAGGCCAGAGAAGCAGAGGCGGGTGGTGGAGAGGAGGATTCACCAGAGACAGAGCGGGGATCAGAACAGGCAGATTGACTGAAATACACTGCTGAGGGGAGCAGAGAGCGAGACAGGAGAGATTGGCTGCACTATGTGGGTTGCTCCCTGGCCAGCCAGGGATCGAACTCCAGCTGCAGTAGCTGTGGACAGCCTCATAGTGCTGTGCTTTACCCCTTGTGCAACCAGGGAGACCCTACC